GGCAGCGGGCCGGGCTGCAGGGGGTCCCTGGTTAATGCTGCTCCGTCGAGTCCTGGCTCGCTGCCTCTCCAGCGGCCCAAGCAAAGCGGGAAAAGCAAGCGGCGTGTACCTCGCGTGGGGGGGCCGTGCCCTGCTCCCCGGCACCGCAGGCTGGGCCACGCTTCGCTTCCCCACAGCGAGGACGGGCCCTGCGCCGGTGGCTCACGGGTCGGTGGCACACGGGTCGGTGGCACACGAGCCCCCGGCCGCAGCTCCCGCTCAGGGCGAGGGGAACCGGGAGCTGCGAGATGGGGAGGGCTGGCAGCAGCGGCGGGACCCCGCGGCAAACCCTGCGCCTACCTCAGCTCCCAGCAATCAACTGCAGGCTCTTGTGATGGAGACATTTTTAATTTTTAACAACATCAGAACCGCAGAAATCCCCCTGCGTGTGCGTGGGCAGTGCTGGGGGACGCGCTGCCGTGCAGGGGGGGGGACAGTGGGTGCCCCCGTGCTGCCCTGGCCTCGCCGGGACCCGGCTCTGCCCCGACTCCCGCTGCTGCCTGCGCCCAGAGCTCCGCAGCACACCTATCGCAGTTTAAATAGAATAAATACAGTGAAGAAAACAGTAAAATCTTCAATAAAGAGGCAAAAGGAAAGACAACAGCAGGTCCAGGGGTCCAACCAAACTCCACGTGGTCTCTGGATTAGTTACTGAGGAAGTTCTATGAGAGCACATTAAGTTCGCAGCCGGAGACTCTCTTACCGCTGTCCTTATATCGAGACTTCGTATTCTCTCGTTTCCTGAAAAGAAGGCAAAGCCAGTTGAGGGCAGCAGCTACACTTCAGGATAATCTCCCCATTCCCGGGCGGCAGGAGAGGCCTCGGGTGTTGTTTAGCTCCAGGGAAAGCGGTGCCCTCCCCGCCAGGACCCCGCAGCCCCCAGTGCCCCCTCCAGCCCCCGCCCCGTTACTCGGGATGGCCGGACGCATCCTGCGCCTGCACCCCCGGCACCGCGGTCCCCAGGGAGGGACGGGGGCAGCAGGACTCACCCCTGTCTCATAAATCGGGTTGTCGAACTCCGTTTCTACCGTGATCTGGCTGTAGGGGTGGGAGTACATGAGGGGCAGGCGGAGGCTGGAGTAGTACCGACACCTGTGAGGAGACGCAAGAGTCGTGGGGCTACGTGGCATCACCCCAGAACAAAGCACAACCACCCCCCTTTTCCCACATCCCCCCATCCCAGCTCCCCGCCAGCCCCCCAGGGACCTCAGAGTGGGAGCTGGGTGCCCAGTTCCCCAGGGCCATGCCTGGGCCGTGGGGCCGGCAAGGACGCGGCGATGCTGAGCCAGCCCTGGCCACATCCTCTGCCAGCCCGGGGCTCTGCCAGCCGGGCCCAGCCCGACGGCACACCCACCTTGTGAGATAGATGTACGCTCCTCCCAGCAGCAAGGAGATGATCAGCACCGGGATGAATATGGCTAAGGCCATATTTCCCCCCTCGAGCGACGTCTCTGCAGCAGCTTCTGCTACTAAAGGGATAAGATCTATTGTGTTGGCATTTGCAAGCACGCGGTGATCCCCTGCCTGCCACTGCTTCCCCCTCCCTCCTCCCGGGCTCCTCGCAGGCTCTGGCTGAGGAACCTGCGCGGCGCTTGTCCAGTAAATGCTCGTCACTCACCTTCCAGAGCGTGTTCAAAGCTGTCCTGGTTCACTGGAAGGGAAACGGAGAGTTACTGGTACGCATCTGGGCTTGACTGGGTGCCGGCAGCTGTCGGCTGCGTGGGGAGCTCAGGCCTGGGGTCTCCCTGCCCCGTTTGGTCCCACGCCATGCCGCCAACTTTTGGCTTTTAATAAGCTCCCAGTGTCTGTAAGCGCAGGCACGGGACTGGGCTGGGCACGGAGAGCCGGGCAGGATGGCTCCCCAAAGACAAGGTCTCCGTGTATTCCCGTTAAGTAGGAATTAAGAACAATTCAACCTGGCAGCTTAACGCCAACGGGAGGGTCCCCCTGTGTCCAGAAAACACACTAAACCCAGACCTTGTTCAGACCTGGGGGGGTTTCCCAGGGCTGAGCTCTCCCATTGCAGCGGGTGCTTGAGGGGAGGAGACCCCCCCGCTGAGCCTGGGGGAACCGCTACGGGAAGCAACAAAGTCAGAAGAGCAAGCGGGCTGCCAGGCCCCCCCTGCACCCCCCACCCCATCAGCACGGTGAGCAGGGCCCCCTCCCCGGCGTGGCAGAGCCTGCTCAGCACAAACGCGGAGAGCACCCAGGTCTTGGAGGAGTTTAGCTCCTGGCTAGAGACCTGCCGGGGGTCTGCAGCCAGGCAAAGGTCCCCGGGCTGTCCCGGCTTGGGGACAGGGGTGCTGGCTGTCCCCGTGCCCCCCCATTACCTTTGCAGATGGGCAGGGGTCCGCTCCAGTGGGACGGCTGGCCCAGGATGCATTTGATGGTGACCTCCCCCATGAGTTCAAAGCCCTCATAGCACATGAAGGTCAGGGACTCTCCTGGCAAGTAGAGGCGCTTATAAAGTATTTGGTAGCCGTTTTCCGGCAGTCCTGGGTTATCGCAGGCCAGCGACTCCTCGGCTGAAAGGCAACACATCCCGGGGTGAGGGAGAGACGGAGCCTGGGGGGCAGCACCCGAGACCTCACCCCACCCCGCTTTCAGGCAGCTCAAGGCTCTGCGCCACCTGGGCGGCTGGGGGAGGTCTTGGCGCAAGGAAAGGGCTTCCCAGGACATGCCCCCCCCCTCCAGGCAGAGGAGCTGAGCGGGAGGAACTGCCCGAACTTACAGACGCAGTGCGGGAGCCGCGAGGTCCAGATGGGCGTCCCTGTCTCGCGGCTGTAGCAGGTCAGCAGCGAGCTGCCCTCCAGCACGAAGCCGGGGTTGCACGTGTACTGAATGGTGGTGCCCACCAGCAGCACCGGGTCCGAGATGAGCCGGGTCGAGTGCTCCACCTCCCCCGGGTCCGTGCAGTACATAACTGCGGGGGGAAAGAGGCCGCCTGAGCGGGGACCCCCGGCACCGGCCACCGGTTCCGCTGCGGGCGGCGGGGACGCGGCGAGGGCGGCTGCGTGTCGCTGGGGGCACTCACTCTTTTCGCAGAAGGGGGGGTCGCTGCTCCAGCTGAGGTCCCACTGGCAGGTGAGGGTGTCACTGCCCACGATGTCGTAGCCCGGGTCACACTGGTAGGTGATCTTGGCCCCTCGCACCAGCTCCGTGTGCGACGTCGTCTTCCAGCCGTTCTGGATCTCGGGCAGGTCGGAGCAGGAGTCGTTGCGGGACACCTCTGCAGCCAGGAGAGGTGCTGGCTGTCACCCACCGAGCCGGATTCACACCCCCCCCCAACCCCTCCTCGGAGCCAGGGCATGTGGACACGCAGCTCTTCGCTGGGTCCCCCCACCCTGAGAGCTCTCCAGCCCCCCACAGCACCAACAGCACGGCCACAGCCGGCCGCCCGGCCCGTGGGTGGCATCCCCGGGGCAGAGGGGAGGGACAGCGGGTAACGGGGACTCTCTGGGGCCTCCCCAGCCCTGACCCTGAACTCAGGGAGAGGGCTGTGCTGATGGAAACACGGCAGTGTCTGGGCTCGGGACATAAGGAGCGACCTGGCAGCGCGGTTGGTTCGCTCTGGGGGGGTCCTGCCCGCCCTCTGCCCCCCAGTGCCGAGCCCAGGGCTGAGCCCGCCCGCATGTGCTGCAGCACACCGAGGAGGGGACCTGCAGCCTCGCCAGCGATCTGCATTGCAGCTTGCTGCCGGCTTGGCGTAACCAGAGCTGTCAGCAGCGGAGAGAAAAACAGGCTGGGGAGAAGCCTGCCAGGGGCAGGCAGGCAGCGGGACAGGCAGGCAGCGAGGCCGCAGGCAGCCGTGGGGGAGAAATGCCCTTCCCGGCCCTTGCCCTTGGTTCTGAGGGCACAGGGCACCGGCCGCCCCCCCGACGCCCTCACAGCCGCCCTGGAGCCGGGAGATGGGAACATCCACCCCAGGAGCCCCCCGGGGACCCGGCCCAGTGACCTCTCCCCGGAGTGCCCCAGTGCCCTCAGCTTCATGCCTGATGGAACCGGGGGGCGATCCTGCACCCCTAATTCCAGCAATTTCTTTTGCTGTTCTGCTCCGCAGTTGCCAGACCGGAGCTAACAGGGACCAAACGTGCCAGCGCCAGCCTGGGCGAGGGGAGACGCACGGGGACATCCCAGAACTGACTGACCCAGAGCCCTGCAGCGGGGCTGGGGGCTTCGGCAGGAGCGGGGTAGGATGAGG